AAATAATTTACTGGCAAAAAGTAAACATTATTTACTAAATTAAAGACATAAAAAATTAGTCTTTTAATATCTTATTACAATATAATTATTTATTAATCATTATTCAAGTTTTAAATTTTAAAAACAACTTGAATGAACAATCAATAATACATCCAATTCTTTAAAAATAAATACTTCAGAGCTTTCAGAAAGTATGCAAATGTATTTTTAATTCATTTCAGTTATTATGTAATAAAAAGAACAGCAGATCAAAAGTCGCAGAAAACATTAAAATCTTCTGAAAACCTCTTGACGTTTGACAACATGAATAAAATAAAGTATAATTTATCTACAATATTACAGCAAGTGAATAATTGCTCATGCAGTGCTATCTTTATATTTTGATTATAGGGAAGGAATCAAAGGACTGAACAGATGTTGCTGTATCCATAAGAAGTAATACATAAATACTTTTCCCAATTTTAGGTTGCAGATTAAAATTAAGCAAAAAAACTACAAATTCCATCAGCGGATTTTAGGTAAAAGTACATCTGAATCACCTGAAATGTCTAATTTATTCAGTAATGAAGAAGAAAAATTCCCAAATGATGCAATTTTTTTCCTTTATTAAGAATTCATTAAAAATTTGTTTATCCATATTGGCTCTTTTTCCCTCCCTGTTTGTCCTCTAAGGTGTTGGATTCTCAGATAAGTACACCAGAAAAAATGAGTGGACAAGTATCGTTTCTTATTTTAGGATTTCTCTACAAACTTGAACAATACCTTTGTTTTTTGGTAAATAATTGCGCCAATCAATAATATTTCTTGAAACTGTTTCTCACCAACAATGCTGCCATCCCTTGGGTTATTTTTAATCCACAAATTGCATTTTAATGTACCTTTTGGAAACCTAAATACTAATATATATATTCATTGAAGCCATCATAATTGGATTTGCAGGTGTGAAAGCAACATCGTTCTGGCATGATGAAGACTTATTTTAGCTCTACATAAAAGTTGATCACTAGATTTATTAACAAATAAGTAAACTTAACTATTGATCTGAACTTAAAAATGAAAATAGCTTAACTACTTTACTTAAATTACTTTACTCAAATTTATCTAGTAATTAAAACAAAAAGTGAATGATGAAAAAACACGTATATATATACTTAACAGTTTCTTTTTTCCGTCATATTATGACAAAAAATAAGTATATTTTTTATAAAAATTTTTATGAAGAAATTCATTATATCAAACCCAAATCAGCAGTCAGAACTATTGCAAGTGTTGAATTTATTGATTTATGCCAATTTTTATTTTCATCGTAAAAAAGCACATTTTCCCTTAAAGTTGGCTTTTTTTCGAACATGTATTGAGAATACGGCAAAGCACACTAGAGCTATCTGCCTAAGGGGAGGGATGCCTTCGTGGAGGACTTTCTAAGGGAAACTGGCTTGTATACATGTTACACATGGGAAAAACCCCGAAAATGCCCATGCAGCCAGCCCGTTCGCGGGATTCAAACCTCGGACCGAACTACCAGTGTTCAGCGATTTTACCGCTCGGCCGCTTTTCGAACATGTAAGAGAACTGGAAAGAACACTTTACAAAAATAAATGTCAGAATTTAAAATGTTTTATTGTTTATTACATTAATTTTCCTCTTAAAATTCAGTTTTTGTATGATAAATTTTAAAACAGGGAGACAAGCATAATCGCAATCAGTAAAAAAATATCGCGTTTCTTATCTCACCCGTTTTCCAAAATCGTTTCTTTTCGAGCAACACACAAAACATTGCCTTGTTGGTCTCAATTTTTTATCAGTGGGAATATCTCATTATCATTCATTTCTTCTTTTATTTTAGCTCCAAATTAAAAAAAAATAGTATTTGCAGTAGCTGGAACACCGAGCTAGTGAAAAGAAATTTCGCGCCTTTACTTGCGTAAAAGAATTCAGTAAAACCTAACCTTGAAACAGTTGTTTTGCAATTCTAACTTTACTGGATTACTAGCGCTATCTGTTAGAAACATTACACACTAAACAAGCAAAAATTTCGGGCAAATCAGTGTATAAGACTAAAAAAAAAAATGTTGCCCGAGCGGTGCTCTGGAAAATAAAAAAAGTGTCATTTCCAAGCACCTGAACTGGGGAGTGGTTAACAAATGGTACACAAATGAACACAGGAATTCTTTGCTTGCAGTGTTCACAGTAGGATGCAAAGGGTGACAGTTCACACACCTTTCATGACATTAAGTCGAATGAATTTACAGCTTACTAGGCTGCATAAATTCCTGAAGGCCACGGATTAACCCCATATATAATTTAAATACAAAATAATTTATTTTCACAAAGTCCCTGAGAAGATATCTCTCTCCTTACATCTTTATGTATTTCATAGTAACCAACTAATTCAACCTAACCTAGCAACAAGTTTTCAGTCATAATATCACTTAAAGGTAATTGGAATTGGTACTCTACTGTTATCAGGACTGGATTCAGAAATGTATGCTTGTATGTATGGATGGATGTGTGCATATATATATATGTACACACATATGTATATCTGTATACACACACAAACATATATGCACATACACACACACATACATTTCTGAATCTGGTCCTAATAACAAAAGAGTGCCCTTGGAAACTTGTCTTTCACATACAATAAACACTGCTAATTCAAAAGCAGAATTCCACATTTGTTACGGAAAAACATATTTAATTTCAAAAGAAAAATAATTTTACTAATTTTATAATTGACATTCAATACAATTTACTTACTAATTCTTTATTAAAAATTTACTGCAGGATACAGTATAAAATTGCTGAACTTTTACATTTGACACACCACAATTCTACATATTTCTCTTTAAAAATTTAAATCCTTTTTAATAGTAATACAATGTTTCATATCTGAATTTCTAGTATGGAGTAAGTCACATTAACAAATAAAATACAGAAGCAATCAATTTTTATGTCGTTGTTATAGTAAAGATTTAAAAATCCTTGACCACAGAACATCAAACACAACAAATAGAACACAACAAAATAACCACGGTTGATTTCAAGCTACTTCTGTGTTGCACAGATACAAATTTTGGTTGATCTTTACATTATGGTAACTTGGCAATTTTTTGGCAAAAATTTGGCGACCAACTCTCCTACAGCAACCCTCTATTTTTTTTTTCCCCGCCGCCATTTTGTCTTCACGAAGTAAAGAAATGTTTCTTTTCTTTTTATCTCCTGAACACTTCTTCCAACAATCTACTAGCCAAATTACACTTATGCTAGAAATTTTATCAAACAAAACTGCTTAATCATGACAAATATTCACTGCAAAATTAGGAAAAACTGCCCAATACCATCCTCTTTACGCATTTTTCAAAATAACCATACACATAAACCATGTACACGCCGACTTAGTTTTACTTAAAAAAACATCCCAGAATTGCACAAAAATGGCATTGTGCACACTCTTCACTATATCCATGTACACTGCTTTTTTCTCATAAATTAAAAAAATTTCACGAAAATACATGACAATTTTCTCAATCTTTAAACCCGGTAAAAAGAACATATATGAAATTACATGATCGCGAAAAAAAGTATTTACCCTTTACAAATATCAACATTTCCACATATAAAATAAATAGAATATCCAAAAACTTTTACCTCTAAATCATCTATTACATTATACACATCACCAACGAATTCATACCGCAAGCATTACAAATACTTAATATCAAATATTTAAATTATTTCCATGCACGTTTATTTCAACTTAAACGTATACCAAATTCCTACAAGCATAAAATTCACAAAATAACTATCATTTCATTACAATATCACTAAACCATGTACACGTCGACTTATTTTTACTTAAAAAAACATCCCAGAATTGCACAAAAATGGCATTGCGCACACTCTTCACTATATCCATGTACACTGCTTTTTTCTCATAAATTAAAAAAATTTCACGAAAATACATGACAATTTTCTCAATCTTTAAACCCGGTAAAAAGAACATATATGAAATTACCTGATCGCGAAAAAGTATTTACCCTTTACAAATATCAACATTTCCACATATAAAATAAATAGAATATCCAAAAACTTTTACCTCTAAATCATCTATTACATTATACACGTCACCAACGAATTCATACCGCAAGCATTACAAATATTTAATATCAAATATTTAAATTATTTCCATGCACGTTTATTTCAACTTAAACGTATACCAAATTCCTACAAACATAAAATTCACAAAATAACTATCATTTCATTAAAATATAATTAAATTCAAAAAACACTACTTAAAATATAAATGAGCACATACATTAAATTAATAAAAAATTACCTTACAATCCTAATTACTTTAAACTAAATCATTGCTAATAACAATTTTCCCAATAATACCAAATTCCTTTCCACCTTACATTTACAAACAATGCATAAAAAGAATATCCTCAAATAATTTAAAAATACTAACTTACCTAATCTTCTTCAGAATCTTGATTACGTGGCGGATACACTTTTCTTCCTTCTGTTTCAGAATCTTTAAAATCATACTTATCTTTCAAAGCAAGATACCAGGTAAAATAAATAACATAATAAAACATCTTTATTTCTCTCTCGCACAACCTTAAAAAACATTTATTACTATTCTTTTCAATACCACTAAATACCCATTTCGAATTCACTTTAGTTACGGCCATGGGATCCAAAAATTCACAAACACTATTTCACACAACACAGAATAAAGCCAAATACAAAATTGCCAGATTTTTTCCCGATTAAAGAACAGTAATTCGTCCATTAATATCCCATGATCTCTCATTTCCCCCACACAAAATAATGTGTAATCGGAACTGAGTACTGCTCACATTATTACCAAAGTCCCAGGTAGTAACCTTTATCGCCTCCAAAATGACGCCAAACTATCAGTTACCATATTGTAAAGATCAACCCAAACTTTAAGAATACTGCCTAAATAAATTATGTAAAATTCTTACCTTCCAAGTACTTCTTTTGGTTCATATTTTGCATAGAAATCTCTTGCTACATTTTTATCCGGCAGTTCATCATCCTCTTTATGTGATGAGACCATATTCAAGCTTAGAAGTTGACAAAGAAGTCAACTAAAAATTCTGATATATTAGCTGCTTGATGTAAAGTTAAAAGTATAAACCATAATCTGAAATAAGATTAGTAGTAATTACATAGCTTATGTGAAAAAAGAAGATACTGCAACTAATACATTAAGATACTGCAACAAGCATGTATAATCAAAACATTAAAAAAAAAAAAAAAAAAAAAAAAAAGATTATTCCGCAGAAGGTTATAAAAATCAGCTATAAGACAATCTGAATTAAAATATGACAACTATTCTGAAATAAAATAACTCCTTTTTGTATTATGTTAATATTTTTCTGGAAATGAAAAATAAATAATCATTGATAAAGTAATTTAATCATAATTAATGTGTAACTCCTTCTACATTCATTCAGTATGAAAGTAAAACAGAAATGGGAAGGGGGCTAAAAAATCTTTACACACTTTAGCTGAAGAATTAGAGAACTTTGATTATACAATATGGAAATTTCCTATGTATGTTTGCAATAGAACATCATGGTTTCATATGACAAGAAGGTCAATAAATCACACAGTAGGTCATATTTATTTTACATACAGAGAGAAATAATTCAAATCATACATAGAAACTAAAACATTTTCAGTTTCTGCATTTTCTAACAGGAACTACTAGTGACTGAATAAAACTTTATAGGCCTAATATAAGTATGATATTTAATATCATATTGGTTATAGTTAGACAATAAAATGTTAATAACATATTCAGTATTTCAACATTTTCTCTTCATACTAGCTCCTAGAAAATATTAATTTCTAATGGTTTACAGATCTATACATTTAATCTGATTAAAAAGCTATACATGTATGAAAATAAATAAGCAGCTGTTAATAAAAACAATACAGCAGACCTTCTAAAAGATCTTCTCAGAAGAGTTATTGAGAAAATAGGAATAGGAAAAGTGATTTTCAAATTATGTTTAAAAGGATATCAAAGTATAATATTCACTGTAGTTTTTTTAATAGTAATAGAATGTTTCATATCTGAATTTCTAGTATGGAATACGTTACATTAGCGCTAACAAATAAAACAGAAGCAATCATTTTTTATGTCGTTGTTATAGTAAAAGATTTAAAAATCCTTGACCACAGAACACCAAACACAACAAATAGAACACAGAAAAATCCTTTTTTTTAATGCAGCTTACAAATACTATACTATTTATAGAGATACTATACAATTTATAGAGATTATAATTTGCATAAATCATACTGGAAAAAAAAAATTACATGCATATTTCAAAACAACAATTTGCATAATAATTCTGATAATTCCAGAGCAGACAACAGCAGAGAAAATAAAAGATATAACTGCAATAATGAAAATTAAGTAAAAATAAATAATATCCGATGCAGTAGATGATAAAACGAACGATAAGACGAAAATAATGGTTAATTTCCCAGTTCTATATGCAAAATGGTCTACATCAATTTTTAAATAACCATTTACATACCAAACTATAGAAGAGTATTTATCATATGTCCTACTGCTGTACGTTAGAATCGCATTAGAAATATTAGCGTCATCTTTCATACTATTACAATTTACATCATCGCTAATGGTCATATTTATCATCATTGCATTACTAACTCATTCGCATTTAGTTATCCTCTTTCACATCATAACAACTTTTAGTTCGGTTATTACTCACGTCGAAACACATTACTTAATCCCCCCCGTTTTCAAAATACATACATAATAAACTATTTTTATAGTATAGTGTTTTTTTTTCCCCTTAATGCTATATTGTTGAAAATTAATTTTATGTTAAAAGGAGAAAATGTATTTCGAAAAATCAGATTTTTATTATAATAATGAGCTGAAATTTATGGAAAAAATATAAAAAAATTCTCTGTCACTCAATACCTTTAGTAGCCCTGGCGTAGGTGACACATTCTAATTTAATACAAAGGGTAATTTAAAGGAGTAATAGCTATATTAAGTAATACTGATGGTAAACAAATCGCATTTTCATTTCTATCCATTACTTAAGTATATATTAACTCAGAAATTTATATTCTATTGAAAACATAATTTTGAAAATAACTTTTAAAACTGACTATTATTTTTAAAAGACTTGACTTTGAGCAGAAGCATAAAGTTAATTTTGATTTAGGAAATCTAACTCTGATTGAGTTGCAATGACCCTGCGCTTCAAGTTTACAAATATTAAACGTCGAAACAAAAACTGAAACTTTCATTTCCGAAGGCGGTTAGCGACACTAGTGGCTATTTATTTAAACTAATAATAGGTATATTTTTCCTTAAATGTTTCCGATACTATTTCTCTCATATTTTGTAAAGAAAACAAATAATCTTGCAACCTGTTACCCGTTTCACGAATGTTTGCAGTTTGTTTATTAGCTTTATTTTTGTGTAATTCGTGTCGTTTTGTAGATTTTGTGAATTAAGGGATAATTTTGTAAACTTTGAAACTAGAGAGCATTTTATTTGTAATTGGAACACATTTGTAAACTTTCGTTATGGCTGGGCTGCTTTCCCAACTTGGTGTTGGTGGCAATCCTTTTAATACTATTGTTGGCCAAAGAATAGGTATTTTTAATACTTAAATATATTTTGTATGTTCTTCTGATTACAAGTATCTCACCATAATCTCAATGTAACTTTTTATCGTGAATATATAGTACTTTTTTTTTGGTATAATCAATTATTGTGTTCAGTTTTCTACCGACGGAGTATAAAAAAATTTTTCATAAAAATACCTATTATAATATATTATTATTCTTAAATAAATTTATTTAAGAATGAACCTTAAACGCTCAATTAAATATGAGTATAGGACATTTTTTCTGTCTGTTACTTCTTTTTAATTCTTTCATTTTTTTTTTTTTTAAATCAGATAACATTTTAAAATCAGTTATACTTTTCGGCTTAATCCTAGTATCCGGTGCATACGGGATTTGGCTACTTTTGGCGACTTTATGATGAGCAGTAAAAACGATGAGTAGTAAACGTGTCATTCAAAGAATGTATATAGTTATACATAGTTATATAGTATGTACTATGTAGTGATAGTGTATAATATATACATAGACGTTCTTTGGGTCATTTTTGGTGTCGGCGATAATTTTCAAAATCGCGCCAAGGTTGCACCGTATACTAGGATTTTACCTACTTTTCATATACGTGTAATATTGACTTCCAAGCACTACATTGTATTGAAGGTTTGCATTTAAGTCATTGAAAAAATTATTTGTTATTTATCATTATCGTAAAAGTAATCAGTTTTATCAAAATATAGAGGCCGAAGCATACTTGTTTTGCTGCATTTGGTATGGAAAATTTAGCTTTAATATAAGAAACTTTGAATCAATATAAATATACAAAACTTGGTAAAATCCTAGTATACGGTGCAGCCTTTGGCGCGATTTTGAAAATTATCGCCAACACCAAAAATGACCCAAAGAACGTCTATGTATATACTGTATAATACATACAGTATATACATAGTATATACTATGTACTATATATATATTCTTTGAATGACCCGTTTACTACTCATCGTATATGTCCAGTTTTACTGCTCATCATAAAAGTCGCCAAATCCCGTGTGCACCGGATACTGGGATTAAACCCAAAACTTTTTAATGGAAATATCAGTGCTAAAGCTCTGAGTGCAGAATGCATTTAATTTCTGTCAGGATAATGAATCTAAATACACAGTAATGAATCTTCTTTTATGGATACTATGCAATTGTTTTGTAGCTTTCAAAATTTGGCTGTATTTTTTTGATTTACTGAACATGTATGGAGTGAATTGCAAGCTGAAAGTAATTTTGATAGAGGAATGAAATAAAATCGAATATTCTACACAAAAAATTAGTTGAATTCTTGCCAAAGTACATGAAAAATATAATTTCAATTAAAGGACATCCAACTAAATATCAGATGTTCTGTTGTTTACTTATTTTTGTTAAATATTAACTGTATGTTTAAATGTTTGAATGCTCATTTCCAGCACTCTTTGAATAATTTTTTTCAGAACTATTTTGAATATATTTCTTTTGAATATATTTTAAAACTTTTAGTATCTTAATGTTAGAAGCTGTTCAAAGAATAAATCAAGTAATCATCAAATCTCAAATTTTAAATTTAAGGGGAAACTGCAGAATCACCCACTGCTTCGCACATTTCTCAAAATCGCCAACTTGAAAATAACAAGTCAAAGAGTTGCACAAACTCTGTATCCATGTATACATCAATCTATTTTCACTTAAAAAAACATCAGAGAATTGCACAAACTTCCCTTTGCATGCTCCCTTGACTTTGTCCATGTACACACCGATGCGCGCCTTGTAAGTGGGGGATTCTGCATCAACTTGCAAATAACAATTCAAAGAATTGCAGAAACTTATTATCCATGTACACATCAATATATTTTCACTTAAAAAATATCAGAGAATTGCACAAACTTGGTATTGCACACTCTTTTGACTTTGTCCATGTACACATCGATACACATCATATAAGTGGGCGAATCTGCACTTTACCCGAATTAAAAAATTTTCTATTGAGATAGTTAGTTTATTTGATTATAAAGCACACTAAAGCTATTTGCCTAAGGGAAGTGATGCCTTCATGAAGGGCTCTCTAAGGGAAACTGGCAGGTCTACATGTTACACTGGAGGAAAAATCATAAGAAACACTCATGCCGCCAACCTGTTAGCCTGGAATTGAACCTAGATTAGAACTACTAGTGTTCAGCAAATTAACCACTTGGCTGCTGGTAGGCTAAGATGTTTTAGGTTTTGGGATGGATTATTGGATAGTATTAGAGGTTAGAAGGATATGATTGACGAGTCATAATTTTTCTTGCACTGTGTAGAATCATGTTTTATGATGCTAAAAAAGGGCACATCTTTTTTTTTGGTTAGTGTTGGTCTTTTTCATCAACAATTTTCTCAAATCATATTTGTTATTTTCATGATTATTGCTAATTTTTGCAATATTTCTTGTACTGTGTGGAATTATGTTTTATAATGCTAAAAAAGTCACATCTTTTTTCAGTTAGTGCTAGTCTTTTTCATTAACAGTTTTCTTAAATCATGTTTGTTAATTTCATTAATATTGCTGTTCCATCCCCCCTTCTCCCCGGCTCCCTCCACTATTGACTGCATGCATGTTCATAAATTTTGAAAGACTGGATTTTATCAGCAAATAATTTAGGAAGATAACATATTTGATTGCCATTTTAGTTTTTATTAGCATTTTTATTTATTAATTGTTGAAAAGATATTGTCATGTATAAACTTGTGAAATTTATCAACATATTTCGTTTTTTAGGGATTATAATGGATTTCTATTTTCATATTTTAAAAATATTTATTATTATTATATTAGTTTATGTATTAATATCTGATTCTGCATAGTTTGAAAAAAATATTACATAATCCTAATAATATATATCACATGTATTTCAATTTTAGAACAAGCAACTGATGGATCTCTTGCTTCTGAAAACTGGGCTTTGAATATGGAAATATGTGACATCATCAATGAGACTGATGAAGGGTATGTAGGAAAACTATAATAGCTGTTTAAATGAAAATAGTTTTGCCACTTATGTGGTGTCTTACATCAGGAGTCATACTGTTTGCTACTTTATAAGACTTTCAGCTGAAATGTGATGTATTTGAAGTACCATATAGAATTGCTTTTCCAGAACAGTTGATCTTAATTTCTTTCAGTTTTAGAAAAACCTTTGCTATAAAATAGAAACCAAGCAATCAACATCTTCACAATGGTTTGAAGTGTGCATGATAAAGTGTTAATTAATGTGTTAGGTTATTTGAATATGCCAAAACTGGGAGGGCTGTCTGCCTAAGAGGAGAGATGCCTTCATGGAGGACTTTTGAGGATAATGGCTTATATTCACACCGCACATGGGGAAAACCAGCCATGCAGCCAGTCTTTTTGCTGGGTTTGAACCCAAGCCAGGTTGAACTGCTAGCATTCAGCAGCTTTGTTTGGAAAAGCCACTGACAGCAGTCACTGTTAAAAACTAAAACATTTGGATGACATAAATTGAGAGATTGTTAAGGATCTTGGCTGTTACTGGGCTATCTAGCTTTACAATCTGGATAGAGTTTGTACAGTCCTTAGATTTATCAAAATTGATTTTCTTCATTAAAAATCCTTAATTTTTTACATCCGGCATTTTTTTCTATCATTTTTTTATTGACATTTCTATCTTTTTTTTTTTTGTGATTGCCTTTTAACCCTCTGAGCGTTATGACCGAGTTTAGGCGGTCAAGACGGCCTACCTCGAAAGCGTTACCGACGGTTCTAGGCGGTCACTGGAAAAGTGTTCGAAAGCGTTACTGATGGATTAGGCGGTCAGTGGTGAAGACCTCGAAAGCGTTTTGACCGCCTTAAAGCGGCCGTGCAGATGTCTCTCGCCCCCCCTTATTTCTGGAACCTTGAAGATCTCTAAATGACAACTTTCAGTATTAGTTTAAGAGGGTTGCTCTTCTTTGTTTTAGACCTCTATGTTTTATCGCCAAGAAAGTGTTTAGACATACGACAAACTGACGCAAACATTCTTCACTAAATAAATTAGCAGCATGTAAAAATTTCCCAATACTATGTTTAAACAGATAACATTTTCATAAAATATCCTTTATATTTCAAACTAAATGCTCAGAAATATGCAAAATGCTTGTGAATTCAATTAAAAAATAGCATTTAAAAAATATTTGCATTATTTAAATAAATTTACTTATGATTATGTAGATGCATAAAACCGGCAAGTTAAAAACTTTCATTTAATTCGCGCGAACCGAATAGTGCTGCATTCTGTTAACCTGAATTACATGCAATTGCATATAAAGAATAACATTACTTAAGCAATAAGTCAGATAAAAATTAGAAAATCAATAGTCTATTTTAATAAGTTATAATAAGCGTATTCTTGATAGGGGTTTATAACACAAACTAATTTAATAGTAAATATAATAATAGCGACTTAATTATTCTTTTTGGAACAATACTCGTCGCTTATACCGGTTTGCTGAAGTTTTGTTCTAATGCATTTTAAATCGTCCAATGCTTTTAATGTACATTGATATGAATGTGATTTTTATTAGAAAAAAGTTTAATAAGTTTGATTTTCTTGTGTACTCATGCTTTACGTAATATATATTACTTTGCTCAATGCAGTGAAACTACAAGCAGCAATGAAGAGCTGAGTTAAAATTTCCATATTTTGTTACATAAATTATTAAAATACTGTACAGCGTAACATCTGAGTTTCCGAAATGTAACCCACAACTTTTCTAGGAGTTACAAATTTGAATTAAAAAAATAGCAGTAATTAGATAATAAAAACTAAATACTAATAAGAAAAAAAACAGGAAAGTTTTTTTTTTATGTTTGTTTAGTTTATTTTATTGTTTTTGGATATATATTGTTGGCAAATGGTGAAGTTGTCATTGACAAATGACACATAATAAAGATAATAAAGAAGAATGATCTGTATTATTTATTATTTAAAATGCATATAATTTCCTCTAAAATAGTATCAGTCTTAGACTGAATGCTGTCTAGACAGTTGCAATGAAATTTTAACTTGATTAACATATCAAATACAGTTTCCTTTTCAATAACTTCGTCAGCAATTTGAGGAACCTTTTTGACTCATTAGATGATTTCGAATAAAACTTGGATTAGTCCAATTTAAAAAAAAATATTTAGAATTACCGAACTAATAAAAGCAAATCTTATTTTAATTTCTTTATCAAAGTACTATATTATTTAGTCAGCGAGAACTGATCATAAAATCTGAGCCTTATGCCCAAGATTCATAGGTCTAAGCAGTAAAAAAAGCTTCTCTTTCTAGAGAAAATTGTCACATATTATGGAAAAGATTTTGCAAGACATTATTTTAGACAAAACACGATTTTTTAAATTTAATCTCATGTATTAGAGATCAAGTATTTTACCATAACTTTGTTTTCACAATAAAGATGATCGCCGTGTTTTTAACTTCCATAGCTTAAATTAAAGAAATACACATAGCAACTTCATAAACATTTGACTTAAGAGAAATTTTTTTTTGACAAGCTATGCGAAGGAATGACTAAATATTGATTGATTTTACATTTATGTTAAATGACAATGATTAAAAAAGAATAGCTGTAGATAGCTGTAGATGTGTAAAAAACCTGTATATGTAACCTTCTGTATTTCTAAAGGAAAGCTTAAAATGGTTCACAATAACGGATGGCTTTGATCATTCAGTAAAGTCATCGTAGGTACATTCAGTTCACAGTTTTGAAGAACTGCAGTTCAGATTTGTTGCTTAAGAGTAATTTTACCCCTGGGGGACTGCTTTACTTAGGGAACAGAAAAAACAAGTTTTTAAACATATGCATACAAAAGGCGTACCTTTTCTCACAACATAAATGGCAGATGTGATAATTTGAACACATGCGTTCAATCAGTTGCTTCCTCCTAACAAAGGTTCCTAGCAAAGTCTTGTACTGTTTTAAATATGCTGTGTTCTAGCATTGTGAATGCTTCCATTCATTATTTTTAATTTTAAACAATATTAAATTGTAATTACTGGTTAAAATGGCTTAAAATAAATTGATACATTATACGAAAGTTTGTAAAAATGAAAACTGGAGTCACTTTCTTTCACATAATTTCTGACTAGCTCTTCCAAAATATTTTAAAGCTTTCTTTACAACATACTAGAAATGTCTAGATTTTGGGAAATTCATTTGCTGTTTTTAGTTAGTAGTTTTAATTGGGGTTGTTATGTAAGAAGGCATTTAATCGTTGTTGATGTGTTACAGTGCTTATTTTATTGTATAAGTACTTGTAAGGCAGCAATAATGCAAATATTACTTTATTTGTTAATATTATAATGCACAGAGGAACTTAAAAAAAGAACAAAAATAATTGTTCCTTTATAATATGTGCTTAAAGGGTTTCCAATGAAAGCATAGATAACTAAGTAGTAACAGTAATAACATTATATCAATTAATTTACTAACTGAATATGATAAAAATTTCAAATTCGAAATCCGTCTTTTTACTGAGTACTTTTCTCAGAAAGAAAAATATCTTCTAAAAATCTATGCTGTTAATACATTTTTAGATAACATCCTGAGAGGAATTCATTGATAATAATAATATGTAGAATACATTAGGTGCTTAAAGCCATGAAACAGGTAAACTTAACAACACACTCGGCAGGCTCACAGTCATAGCCAGTTCGGTTTTTTAAATACGGGAAAGCTATGAAGACTATCTACCTAAGAGGAGGGATTCCTTCGTCGAGGATATTCTGAAGAAAGCTAGCGTATTACACATGAGAAAAACCATGAAAACCAACCATGCAATCAGCCTGTTCGCCTGAGATTGAACTCAAATCAAGCCGAACTACCAGTATTCAGATCCAGAGGTTTTAACTGTTCGGCATATTGATGAGGCCTTGAACATAATCATGAATCTGCAAGCTTATTCAGCTGGACGCGCTGTTAATTCCATATATTCTCCTCTCCTAAAGACTGAAATTCGAATCATAGATCTTTCAGTTTACTAATTGGATCTGCTACTACTTGCACTACTAGGAAACGCAAGGCAAAAAAGGCTTTATAAGTGTACCAGTACGACAGCATTATATGATTTGTTGGACATCTTAACTTCGAAAATTATATGGAATGTATTTCCAAATGGATATTATGTTCGATTATTTTTTAACTTGTTGATTCTAAACCGATCGTCACCTTTTCAATCCAAAAATATTTCATATTATGTCTAGATGCTATATAAATCATTTTATCTGCATACACTAATTTATGAAATTTAACTTTTATATTAGCCCTACAGCAAGAAATTTCAAAGTAGAAAGTGTTCTTCAACTGCAAAGCAAGTTGTATGAATATAATAAGTTTCAGAAACTGTATTTACTATGATTTAAGGCTTTAAAATTTTAATATTTATAACAAAGATTTCAGGAGGCATCTTGGCATTGAAATAATGGAATACTAATCCTGAATTCTTAAAAAGTCCTCCTACGAAGGCATCCCTACGTTTAAGCAGATAGCCCATAGAATACTTTACATTAGTCAAATAAGCCAATGCATACTGTTGCTGTAAAAAAATATTGTATTTTTTCTTACATAATTTCGACTGAAAACGTTATATTTGTTACCACGGAAAGATTTTATTTTTGTGCTAAATTCTAGATGCTTGAATTTTTGTAATACACAGAAGCAGAGATAACAAAAAACTAAAAAAATATTCATAATTTACTAGGATATATAAACAATATAATCATTGTAAAATAGATTTTTAATAAGAATAGTTAGAAAAAAATAAATGATTAATGTATACTTTACGTCGTACTTCCTAAAAAGCTTATTTGTTTTAATTGGAAACAATGAAACATTCTTGAATCATCTGACTAAGAAGTGGAATGCTTTCATGGAAGATCCTGAAAGGAAACTTGGCTCATAATTGTATTTCACACAGAGAAATCCTAAAAAGTTCCTATGTAGCCA